CCTGATGCTTCGGCTAGAACATTTTCTTGCGTAATTCGTACACCCAAGGGCAGAAGGATTTAATCGCCGTCAGGTCCGAAGTCCATACGACGCCTCAGCTCTGCGGATGTCTCGGGGGTATGGCAAAGTAGAATCGCATTTTTTGAGTTTCTTTTGGTGGGTTCGAATCCCACATCTTATCCACATATAAGATTTTCTTTAAAAAAAAAAAAAAATCATTTTTACTAGATTTAAATCTTCAACAACAAGGTAATCTTTTTAGTGAAAAAAGATTGTTTTCCTAGTCGGTTGCTTATGAGTCTGTATAAGTTCGATCTGACGTTATCAGTCATATAAGCAATATCGATCCGCGAAAAGTAGAGCTATGCTTTCCAATCTTTCCTGGCACAGTTTGCTGACAAGAACATTTACTGCACTTGGACCTATATCATATGACCGCAAAGGATTAGTGAGTGGTGCCGTGAAGACTTCTGGGTCGCAATTACTGAAGGATAATAAACAGCCACTCCAGTAAATAATATAATAAAAAACGATGGTAAGAAGGTAGGAAAATTAATTGGTAATTTTGGCTGAGAGCATTGGGATATAGTTTGACATGCATAACGCAAAACTGTTTATTTTATATAGCCTAAAAAAGGGCAGGACCTGCAATTATTTTAATATTATGYAAAGAACACTTTAAGGGAGAAGATTGACGAGTTAAACGAAATCATTCTTTTCTATGAAATATTCCATTATATTTTGGCTAATATTCGGCAAACTTTTTCTGCGCTGTACTAGGCCTATGCGGATGATACAGGCAACCCAGTGAACAGTCATAGGTCGTCTTGTGATGATTAGTCTTGATTAGTCAGTTTGATTAAATAGAGCGAGGAACTGATGGTAATTCTTTTAGGATCAGGATTGGTTAGGTCTGTAATCGGCTATAGCTAAATTGTGTGGTGAAGGGATGTTTGGATGAACTGTCACCTGCCATATCGTCCATTTTGAAACTATCCCTTGAAGAAGGTCACTTCCCTGATAAATGAAAGGGAGCCCGGCCTAGTCAAGCCGAAATTGAAAAGAAATCTACTTTGGAACTGATAAAGAAGAACGAGCTATCAGTCTTTAAGCTATCTTCACTTCCTGTCCAAGCTTACAACAGTCAGTTTCTCACATAACGACATGCTGGCTTTTCCTTGTGGTGTAATCAGCTTATTGACAGTTCCACAGCACCGAGACGGCCTTACTTCGAGTTCGTAAAGACATACTTAACATGAATAATGCTATTRGTCTTTCTAGACTTAAACGCTACGTTTGACACTATTGACCATACGATATTGCTTCAGCATGTTGAGGATATGTTTGGATTTAATGGTACAGCACTGAAGTAATTTCGCTCCTATTTATCGGGCAGATTCCAACAAGTCGTAATTGACGGTTTCAGGCCAGACAAGTTTGACATTAATTTTGGGGTGCCGCAAGTTCCTGCCTCGGCCCATTGTTTGTCTCACTCTACACAATTCAGTTGCTTGATGTCGTCAGCAAACATCAACCTGCAGTGCATTGTTATGCCTATGACACCCTGCTCTACCTGGCTGTCGTCCAGACGATGGAGCCACTCAAGCTTGTCTTATACGGGATATTAGGAAGTGGACGATAAGAGACAGCTCTTCATCGATACCAACAGTATTCGAAGGATGGCAAGAGCGCAAGTACATTCTATCTGACAATGAACGGTATGAAAATAAAACCAAAATATAGCGATCTGATTTTGCAACTTAGTTAAACCTTTCCTAGTAATGATTTGTCGACTAATTGTGTACTTATATTTGTTACCGGCTGAGCGGTGAATTTTGTTTCAGCCAATCGCAGCGCGTTTAGCTGTTTTGCCGCCGGCCATCAATCCCAGGCCACTTTTGCTACCCATTTTTTGCGTATTTTCCTATTTCCCAGGCTACTTTAACCCCACTTTTGCGCATTTTTCTGTTTCCCAGGCCACTTTTGCTACCCATTTTTTGTGTATTTTCCTATTTCCCAGGCTATTTTAACCCAACTTTTGCGTATTTTTCTGTTTCCCAGGCTACTTTAACCCATGCAACTTTTGCGTATTTTCCTATTTCCCAGGCTACTTTAACCCATGCAACTTTTGCGTATTTTTCTGTTTCCCAGGCTACTTTAACCCATGCAACTTTTGCGTGTGTTTCTGTTTCCCAGGCTACTTTAACCCATGCAACTTTTGCGTAGTTTCCTGTTTCCCAGGCTACTTTAACCCAACTTTTGCGTGTTTTTCTGTTTCCCAGGCTACTTTAACCCATGCAACTTTTGCGTGTGTTTCTGTTTCCCAGGCTACTTTAACCCAACTTTTGCGTATGTTTCTCTTTCCCAGGCTACTTTAACCCAACTTTTGCGTATTTTTCTTTTTCCTAGGCTACTTTAACCCAACTTTTGCGTATTTTTCTGTTTCCCAGGCTACTTTAACCCAACTTTTGCGCATGTTTCTGTTTCACAGGCTACTTTAACCCAACTTTTGGGTATGGTTCTGTTTCACAGGCTACTTTAACCCAACTTTTGCGTATTTTTCTGTTTCTTTTCACTAAAATATAATATATACGTGCCTACAAGAAGAAATACGTAAAGAAAGAATAAAAACAATTTCACTTTACTCTTGTTTTCTTTCATGATAAAGCTCCAAAAAAGCTTAGGGTGGGTCATTTTATCCACTCATGCTTTGCGCTCCTCGTTCACCACTCAGCTTATGCCATACCGTGACCAATGGGCGTGCCGGATTTATTATATTCGCTGGTGTAAAAGTACCGTACTACTCATTACTAAGGGGGTATGACAGGCTTATCACCAAGAGGATCCAATACATTCTTATCTATAGCCTTGGCTCCTTGTTTACCTATGTACATCTTGCCTAGCGATTTCCAAGTTGGTTTTCGCATACAGCGGACTGGTTCAAACCGATGTCCAATGGCAAAGCTTTTCCAGTCTACATGCTTCGCAAGATTACATGTCTTCTCGAAAGGAAGGATTTTTGGGATCTCAAAATTTGTTCTTGATTCTGATTGGACTTTCGTCCAGTATAGAAGTGTGTCCTTTTTATAAGCGCTATTTAAAGCAAGGTAGTTGTGACATAGGCTGACATCGTCGACTAAACTAGACTTAGCTAAGCCTGCTTCGTGGTAGATTCTTTTGTCGTTAAAGTAAGTAACATCGTCAACGTTATTCACCCACATAGAAACAGAAATATCTCCGAAGGGATTGCAAAGCAAAGAATCTTTTTTATCGAGGAATTCATGAACGAGGTCTGCTGATAATAGAAGAAATTCTTCATCCACACGAACTTGTCCTTCCTTCTCGCAGTGAACATACCCCCAGTACAATCTGAAGGAGAAAAACAAAACGTTCATAATTTGCTGGGTTTCCATTGAATCCAATGATCTGCTATTTGTTGTCACCCAGATGAATAATTAGCAATTATTCGCCAAAGGCGAAGTGAATATCAGGGAATATTTACCGAGACGCGAGTCTTCGATTGTTTTAGCATATACCAACTTGTATACAGAGTAACTTATTTTTATATACAATAATTCAATAAAAACAAACAAACAGAAACTTTTAGTTTGCGTGACAAATTTACGCAAAGCTTTTAGCAAAACTTTTAGGCCATACTTCGTTGTCTTTTTAGTATTGATAGGAATGGCATTTACTTTCATTTTTTTWAAATTTCCTCCTCGGAAATTGTAGCAAAACGATTGCCGGAAGATGCCATTTTGTTGCCGACTCAATATTCCGAGATTCAGAGGTGAATATCGTACAATATTCGCCTCCAATTAACCAATGAGCGCGCACGTTCTTAGGAAGTACACAAGTTGGTATATGCTAATACCAGATATCCAAATTAGGCTCTCTATATTCACCTTCAAACAATAGAGCCTTTGTACCATCACGTGATGGCAGCCATAACAGTAGGCACAACAATAGTCTTTTTTCCCCAGGGAAAGTGATTTCTTTCTCATGTAAATTAGACTAGACCAGATTCAATTGTTCCTGCCTCCTGTCATGACTGCCATCACGTGATGGTGCAAAGCCTCTATTGTTGTTTTTGGGTCTTTTTTAATATATTTAACGCATGAAGGCCTAGAAGCCTCGGCTTGAATAAATTACTTGAAAGTAATAGAGTGTAGCTCTGATATCTACATATTACTAGCCATTTAGAGCTCGAAGAAAACGCTGGGTCGAGTTGGCATTGCAGTGCATTGTGGACATGTTTAGGGGACTAAATTGAAATTATATGTATTCTAAAACAGTCAAATCTATTGAGGTAGTAATTACGAGAAAATAGATCGCTCAGCAGTAACCATTACTGCAATCTTCATAAACATGCGCACGCTGTGTCTGCGAGTTGCGCGCTGAAATTTGGTTTTTCGCTGCAGATAGTCAAAATATGAAATGTACCGACTAATTAGGTTTGATTGACGGCAGCTAGCAAAAAACTAAGGCCCCGTCCACACGCATCCGCAAATGTTTTTTTGCGGATACGGGTTGCGTCCACACGTGCCCGGAAATTTTTGTATCCGTATCCGGAAATTTTCTAAAACGGTCTCCAGAGTGGAAATTTTTGAATACGCTCCGAATACGGATACGTGTGGACGGTCGTATCCGCAAATTTTCAAATACGCTGACGAAAACACGATTTTGCGCATGCTCAATAAGAAAAACTATCCGTCAAAGGAACTAGGCACTAGCGTGCATCAGGGCGGATCAATAAATTTCCGGATACGTGTGGACAGCGAAAACGATTCGAAAACGATTGTCATACGCTGCGTGTGGACGCAAACATTTTCGTATCCGAAAAAAAAAATTTGCGGATACGAAAATGTTTGCGTCCACATGCATCGTATTCGAATCGTTTTCACCGTCCACACGTATCCGTTTTCGCAAAATTTGCGGATACAGACACAAAAATTTGCGGACACGTGTGGACGCAACCCGTATCCGTAAAAAAAAAATTGCTGATACAAAAATTTGCGGATACGTGTGGACGGGGCCTAAGTTGCATATAACTTGCAGCGTGGAACTTATGCAGCCAAGGGAATACTTCATATTCTCTTGATGCACCACAATTCGAAAAATGTTGCAATACAAGTTGCAGTAATCTTTGCCGATAGTAGAATTCGTTTCTACTTTTGGCAACGATTGAAACTCCGTTGCACTATGCAGGTAATCTTGCAACTTGTCTCACAGCGCTGTTGCAATCAGACAAGTTACAAAGAAAATTGCTCCCTGTAATAGCGCCTTTACTGCGATTCCCAGTCCCACGCCACCACCTAGAACTTCATCATAAGCGAAAAACTGAGTTTGGGTAGACGTCAATCAAAAGGGTTTCTATCGTTTCTTCGGGTTTCTACACCGGGGACACTAGAGAAAAACGTTTGCGCATGCGTGCATTTTAGCACGTTTTCTAAGAATTTTGAACGGTTCGAGTGAGAAAATAAATGCTTGTTTTCTCCAAGTATACAAATAAATTCGAGAGTATACTTTTGTCAGACCACAATACTATATTAAATAACACAATATGAAAGAATTAGCCTTAAGTTTCAAGCATGGACACTAAGTTTTGGCATTTTGTGAAGTCCAATTTATCAAGAAGATAGAAGGCATGTTTGAAAGTCAAATTTTCATGTTTTGACTAATTTGCATAAGGATTCAGAGCATGCGCAGACGCTTTTCACTCGTGTCTACATCGGGACTGGCGTTGAATGCTTTCGTGAACACGAGCAAACGTGTAAAAACCCTTGCCCTCATAGTATCTCATACTTCTTGTTGCTATGAATTTCTAGAACATTTCACAGCCGGATTCAGGCTTCTAATCTCAAACGCTTGACTGCAAAGCTATCGCTATGACTTTGCCTTGAGTTTCTTCGAAATCAGATAAGCCAATACCAATGATTTGCAGTTTATAAGCGTTTGAAATTCGGAGTCGGAATCCTTATTAGACATGTTTGAAAAACTCTTTTGATTGACGTCCACCAATACTCCATTTTTCGTTTGTGATTTAGGTCTCAGTTGGTCGCGTGTGACTGGGAATCGCAGTAAATGATTTGGATGAGCAACCGAGACAAAAGTCATTTACATATAATGAAATTCAAATGAAGGCGTAATAAGTCATGCGCGAAAACCATTCCGTTACTCCGTGAATAATCGATCTAAAGTCCGTGAAAAGATCATATCAAAACCGACTCTAAATTTAGACAATTAAAGTTCAATAATACTTAGATAGCATGCTGTTTGTAAGGGAAATAAACCTTTTTTCGGATATTTTTTTAAACTGTTACAACGCGACACTCAAAAGTATGACCACATCATTAACGTATTCGCATATTTCTTTTTATGTATGTTAAACCGGCACATTTCGCTACGAAGCTGGCCAGTTTTACCAAATAAAGCGTGTAAACGCCTGTTTGACAGCAAAAAGCCCGTGCATATAGAAAGTATATAAACATTAAATGTGGTCATATAGCGCGTTGGTAAACTCCAGGTTTTTATATGTACAGTGATAAATAAATTACGGTATTAATCGTATTCTGAAGAGAGCATTCTTTTGTCGTAATATTATCATACAATACCTTTTCTCAGAACGATATGGCAACTCTAAGATTAGTCTTTGAAGACACACAAACATATCATCATCAACTCGTAAAACAAAATCAAAAACGTAATTTTTTGCAGCCCATTCCAGAATCCATAAAATCCTCCTAGCAAAGTTGACTCCGCGAGGAACTGCCATATATTCAATGTCACCGTATTTCGCATTCTCGTCCTTGATTACTTTATCCATCCCTTGATCCATGTCGTTTAAACTATCCAAGAAGAACTTGCAAACAACGTCTGGTCTTTTACAAAATGCCATCCATGTTAGTCTTATCCCTTCGCGACGATGAGCAAGATTTGGTGCACTTATTACTCCTACAACTAGAATAACTCGTTTCTTTCCTAGTATTAAAGTCGAAAAGAGGTTTCGAAATGTCAGGGAATTATTAACACACAAGATCAGGAAAAGAATTTCGAAGAAAACAAAAGCTATGGCGATCAGCAAAAGTTTTCTTTTCATACTGAATGACTGTTCATACACAACCTGTTACACAGGGATCCCGGTTCAAGTGGTTTTGCTTTTCTACTCCGGCGAATATTAATGAATAACGTCCAAAATATCGGTACCGTTATGTTGTTTTTACACAGCGTTTTTAAAAGTTTTTTTCTTATTCGCTTGCTGTACTCGACATACCAACTTAGTCCCAACTAGCTAGGAAACCACTAGTCATTACATGGTTTTGAAAACTGGTGTTGGGTTTCCTGTGTGTATTAATTCAAGATGGCGGCTGCAGCAGAAGCACGTGTGAAGCAAGAGTTAGAAAGATCTTTAGAAGTGATCGAACGAGAACAACTAAGACCAATACAGGTTGGTGAGATATATTTATTCTATGCTTGTCTTAATAGGTCTGTAAAGGACTTAATTATTAACAACAAAATGCTTTGATAATGTAAAAGTCAATAAAAGTGTGTGCATGTATGGCCTCGAAGCTTGAAAGCTTTTATACTTGTAAGGTTATTTAAGCTTATCTAAGCTTACTTTAATATAAGACGCTTTTTCATAGATAATCTCTATTAACCTCTATTAAGCAGACACCCTTTATTAAACTGAGACAACTCGAGACCAGGCAATCCAGAATGCTTCCCCGGTCCAAGTTTAAGTTTAAGTCCAACAAATTATAAGCTACTAAGTCTCCTAATGCAAATTACCCTTCTAGTTATACATCTTACTCTCCAAAAAAAAAAAGAAAGAAAAAAATCCATTTATATGCCCCCTGGTTATAATTTCAAAAGACAACGAAGGTATACATATAGACTATTGATGGTTTTCACAGCCTCCATGTTGGATGAATTTAACAAAAGATTCGTCGTTAGTCTCTTTTGTTATATCCAACATGGCTGCCATGTCTTTTTCTATTTCATACTCTTGAGAATGATTGAAAACCAGCAATAGGGCTTTTGTTGTTTTTTAAACAAATTTTTTGGGTGGGGGGGGGGGGGGGCTTCATACCATGTTTGGGTGTCATTCATTTTCAAGGTATGTTTTATGAGGAAACTCATTAGATTGTAAATAACATGTGACTTTGATTATTTAAATATTAAGATAAGTATCGGTGTGTTTTTCGCACGGGTTTCCGGTTTGCTTGGGAGGGTGGGAGCCAGATGGTTGTGGTAGCGGTCTGTCTGGGTTCTCCTCTCCTCTCTTGAGGCTGGCGGTTCAGAGTTCTGCATGAAAGCCGCACCATATATGATATATTATATGTTTTTATATCATGTATACTGGTATTTGTTTATCTTTAGATAGGTGTCCCCAATTAGCCTACTTTAATGTAAGCTGGATACTTATGACACATAAATAAAAGTTAATTCATCATCATCATCATCATCATCATCATCATCATCATCATCATTATTACTATGACCGTGATTTTATGGCATGAGAATTACAGCACATCAAAATAACTTGTAAAATCATATAAGTTTCTTACGTGACAAGATAGTTGTGATGGATATAAAAACCTTGATCAACTTCCACCAAAACCTTTCCTGTGAAGATTGAAAAGTGCTGTGCAGTGACTGGATGCTTTTTCAATGTCACATAATATGATCATTCTTGAGTAAACCTAGTTTTAAAACAAATCTCTTATCTCTTTTGTAAATCAGGGCAAGTCTCATATATGTGCTTCTAAATGTTGTGAAAATAAAGTTGCCAGTAAAGAGAGTGCACAGCAATGTATGACTAGATGCTTCCAGCCACTACAAGAAATGCACAAATATATCGAGCAAGAACTTGGAAGATTTCAGGTCAGTGGTTGCAATATTTACTTTAGCTGGAGGAGCAGAATTAACAATGAGATAGGTGGCTACTGTACATTAAATGTATAAATTTTATAGGCTGAATGCATATTGTGCTAAAAGGGTGATAACAGGCCCAACTTAGTGGCCTGCCAATGGTCAACATGCAGGTCAAATTTTGGCACACTAAACAATTTTGAACTACCAAATTGAAAATAAAATGTCAGGGAAAATTTTTCTAGATAAGAATTATTTATCCTGGCATGGTTTAGCATGGAATGTTCCCTGCAAATTATTTTATGCACTTATATTTCCATTGTTGATATGGGAACRTGTGTTTCCCAAAATGCAAGTGCAAGCACTGCAGACCAAAGACTTGTTTGAGGTTATCATGTACTTTAAGACCAACTAACACATATTGGTCAGCAATCACTTGACTGTCTGCCATGCATTGGCCGTCTGTGAACCTAGTGTTGCCCAACTGTTGGCTGTGTCTTGATGGAGCATTGATTGGTCAACAGCGGACTGATTGTAAACCAACACATGTCGACTGGTCATACAGTACATGATTACCCTCTTTCCATTTCTAATTCATTCTATTGCACATGCATATCTTAATATCTTACTTGCATATCTATTGTAACTGATTTGGGGTAGTAGGGCCACTAAAATAAGGCTGGTCATCTGACAATGTCAGGCCAGAATCGGATCCTTTGCCTTGCTGGTGATTTTGACCTGTAGCCTTGAGCTACAGTATAAATGAGGTGTGATCATAAAGTAGTTAGCTATGGTCAGAAACTCAAAGGTGGGGTGGAATTTGTAACAGCCACTCATGACAGTATTTTGTACAATACTCCAGAATATTAAACATATTTCCAGACCAATTTCTTTCCAGCAAATCACATCCTCTTGCTTCGAAAATTCTCAAAACTAAATAAAAGAAAGATATCCCAAAGTGCACCAATAGCAGGGAAACAAAGATTGAAAATTGATTGAAAACATTCATTAATCTTCTCTGAAAATCAGGAAATTCAGTGACTGACGTGACTAACCATTATTTTTCGCCCCGAGTAGATTCCCATGCTTTTGGCAGCTGTTTAAAATGCCTTAAATTAACCTACAACTTTGTTTTTTTCTACAGGGTAGGATAAGTAGATGTGCCCAAGAATGTCAAGATAAAGTCCAAGATAAACTAGATACCAATACAACCCAGTCACAGGTAGCAGAGTACCAAGGACAAGTAGATCAATGTATAGAAAGCTGTTGTTCCTCACATATAATCATAGCACAGCAAATGTTTGAGAAAATGAAGAAAGTAATTTCAGAATCARCTCAGGCAGTGAATAAATAATAACTTCATAACATTTACACTTTTCACATGTTTTTACAGTAAATTTATTCGTTGGGGGGAAGGGGATCATACTGTATCTTTTAGCCCTTTAATGTAAATGTTGCTGGACAACAAGTGATTGTAAAGATAAAGGGTGCCTTATTTCTCTAGGATAGAATATATAAGAGCCCTAGCACCTCTCTATATTTCTTCTTTTCACTTCCTGTTCCAAGGTATGCAAGGTGTGTTACTCAAATGGGGGGGGAGGGTTCTAAGATTTGTTTTGATAGGTAAATAAAGACAATTTTCAAATGAAGTTTATTTATTTATTTTTCCATAATGTTTCATTGAAATTTATGTGCAATGAGAGTGCAAACAAATTAATCCGTGAAACACTAATTGCTAAATAGTAAAAAATAGTGCTAATTAAACAATAGAAAACAATGGTATTTGCATGAAATTGTGCTATTTAGTATTACTAAAGTTTCACGATTATATTGTTTGCACTCTACTAATAACTTCTAATATTTCTAGTGATGTTTCTTATGTCATTTATATAACTTTTCTCTTTCACCTCTGGACACTCATTTATTTATATATAACTAATTATTATATTTTGCAATTTTTAAGAAGCAATTAACCTTTAACTTGAGCTTTTATAAAATCATTAACTAAGATAGATGCAGTGCTTTACGAGGAATTGCAAGGATTGCCAATACATGGGATGTGCCCCTGTAAAAACCCCTGCTTACTGCCAATGTTTTCAAAACACTGTCATGGATTGACATCCATGGCAAAATATAGGATTCTGCATGTGCTATTGAGAACAACTGAAAAACGTTTTAAAACTTCACTGATATACGTACTTTGAAAATTTGCATTTTGCATCCAAGAAATAGAGTCCTCTTAGGCCTGGTTGGGCATAATATATCCCCCTCCTAATTCAGATTGTGTCATTCATTAATTAAGCACAATAATGCAGATGAATATTCYAACAGACCGTTTTCTCAAGGTTGCGTGCGCATCCAACTTGACGGGCCACAAAACTGAAAAATGCAAATTCAGTAAAATTGAGAACACAGTTTAATATATAAAGATGAGAATTATTGATTTTATGAATTCTTATAGAAAAATCTCATAGAAATGTATGATAATTCTCATTATAAAGCTCCTGTTCTGGTATTGTTGCTCGTCAATTTTCTTTTATTTGGATGAGTRTGCAACCTTGAGAAAATGGTGTATAAGATATGACTAAAATAAACAAGCCTTGTTTAAAACTTAGAATGAAATGGAAAAAAGAGTGCTCCTGACCAAAAGGTCTGTTAACAAGTTTTATATATAGTTGCCAAAACCTTTTAACATTTGAAATTGGACTTGCACRTTTTTAGGTGGTGGCATTAGTGGGTTCCTTGACAATGTCTTTCAGTCTTTTCAATCTCTGTTCTAAGGCTGGATTATCCCTGACTGTCATGCTTCTTGCTTGGAGCTGTAGAATGTTGGTGTATTCCAGCTCTGTGTACTTGGCTCCTTGCTCAACTATGAGTGTCAGGACACCCTTTGGAATATAATGAGATCATTTGAATGACTTGTTATGATAGGGACACGATAGGGAGTTTATTAGGACTATGAAACTAATAATGTATGGTGATTTTGTTCTGATCGGGACACTTACTGGAGGTCCAAAAGAGGTATCCGTAATATAGGTGTCCTTAAATAAAGAGTTAATGACTATGAAAAAAATGATTGATTTTGCCAGGACCTAAATATCTGCCTGTAATAAAGAGGTTCCATTTTTAGAACACTAATTTCTTGATACATGTAGTGCGCACAAGCAAATGTAACGCACCGTGGCGCCAAACGTTATTTGTCGAGAGCGGCTGTCAAAATCATGACAGTGTTGCTAAGTTACGCCACACAGGCGTGACAAGTATAACGTCCTACATCGGCAGAGTCTATTTTTCTCACTCCACTGAAACAAAAGGAAAATAGGCTCTGCTAGCAGGGAAGCGAAAGGAAAGAGTTTTTACAGTCTAGTTTGGAAAGGTGAATACTTACGTCTTGGTTAAGATACAACAGTTCATAGTACTGACGTGCTTTGTCTAAATCACCTTCTCTGGACAAGGTGATGTTGGTTAGATTTTGCTGAAGAGCAAAGATGTTGCGGCACCTGTGGTGAGAAATGAAAAAAAGAAATGATGATAATGGTGATGGTGACGTTGATTGATGATGATGATGATGATAATAAAAATGGGAGGTTCTTATATATCGCATTTCACATGGCCTCATTGCGCTTTACAATTATGACCAGTGGTGGACCTTACAGGCTGCATATTAANGCGCTATTTATAGCAATGATATTGGAAAATGCCAGCCAATAATGAAGGCATTAAAGACGACAATGGCAGCAATATCAACATCAACAACGACAGCAACAACAACAACAGCAACAAATCCAAATCCTAGAAAACATTCTAGGCACCCATATGGCACTGAGCTATCAGCAACAACATCAATGGGATGATATAATTAATGCTCACGTGAAGGGAAATACTTACATCTTTTTGATGCCATTTTGATTAATCTTCTTAATAAAAGCAAGATTAGATATCAGGATGGATGACACAAGATGACCAAGACCTTCAAACAGATACCTTACAAGGCAAAAATATACTTGTAATCATTGTTATTATGGTTGATCATTTGTCAGTGTATGAAGGATAAATGCTGAAAACGATGTACTAGCTAATATCATAAATATCGGTCCCAGATACTCACACCAGTGAGAAGTTGGAACCGAAACTAATGACGGCTGCAGATGAGACTATGTACTAGTACGACTAATCGAACCAATCCGATTGACGAGGTTCAGAAGAATTTAAAGCTTTTTCCGACGTCAAAAACGTCAGGCTTTTATTTGAAAATTATTCGACACAAACGAAAGCAGACTGGACTCTATGTTCTTGCTTGCAAGAGAACGGGATTTTTAGTTTTCCTTGCGTTAGCTTGCGCATGTGCTCATGCTTGTGTCGACTTGCGTCGCTAATCTAAACAAGGCTTTAGAGATAAGTGTTACTTGTCGCATCATTATATCGCCAATATGGTATGAATATGGATGTCATTTTCAAATGTGAAAGTTTATTGTGGGTCAATTCCTTTAAGTCTGATTCTTACTAGCGCCGCGAGCCAAACACAACACTATATTTTCACTATGGACTGAGAAGAGACGCAAGCGCAAGAGAACAGAAGATTTTGCTTTTCTTTACAATACAATACAATTTTATTTATTTATTATTTTTTTTATTTGCTCATACAAGAAAATTTACATGAAATGTGAAAAACAACTATAGAAAACAACTAAGAAAATAAAGAATAGATAATTGTC